ATAATGGTATTATTTTTGTTAAAAAGAAATGCCAAGACTGTTATTCCAACAGGTGAACTATGACAGTATTAGAAGCACCAAAAGGCAAAGCCTGAAGGATCAGCCAACATAGAGGTGTGCTAGGCTTCCTAACTAATGCATCCATAAACATTGCTGGTACACACACAGATATACAGAGAATATTATATATTATAATAAAGAGACTTGGGAAAGGCAGCTGAAAACAACCTGACACTGGCTCTAGACCTTCAAGATTGAGGCAGGACATGTGAGAAGAAACTCAAGCAGCAGAAGGCAGGTCTTCAAATTGAATATAAGAAGAGATTTCCACCAACACCTCTGCTCTCCATATTCATATTCCCTACGTGCTGTCACTCCATTCACAAGTATATTATATTCTTCACTCCTAAAAAAAAAATAAATGTAACTTCACCACCAGCAATGTTTTAAATATAACTACGCACTGGAGAGCACAACTTTTATTGCCTGATTCCTGTTGCTAAAATCCACATACCTCAGAAAAGTCTGTAAAAAATATCAATTCATGCTCATTTCAAGGGAAAACTCTTGCAAACAGAAGGAGAAAGAATGAGTAGCAATTGTTTGAGGGTTCATTTTTACACTGGACTGCTCTGAAGAAACTTTGGTTTGGTTGACCACAGACTGCCATTCCTTCTCCCCAGTTTCAGGAGCTCAGTCACTCCCAGTGACTCCCAGTCACAAACATTTTGATTCATTGCAGGAATAACTACGCAAGTCCTGAAAATCCCTTTATGTGAGCAGATCATTTATATTGAGCCATTCTTCAAGATTTCTGCAGAGAAGAGACAGTGTGGAACAGACGTGCTCCCATCCATTTGATTCAAAGTGTACTTGAAGCCAAACTTTCAGGACAATATAAATTACTTCTCCAAACCTTTCTGAAAGTTGACTCCATGAAAAAAGCTTTCCCTTGTAATATGTTATCCATTATCTTGCCGTGGTGCTCTCTGTCCCACCATCAGTCATTAAGAAGTTCAATGCTATTAGTCCCAGTAAAACTGCTAGCTGGTCACATGTTGTAGTTCCAGCTGATGATCATTGCCCCATGAACTCAGTGCTCCTGCCAATTTTCCTCCTACTTTGTATTCTATCCACCCAACCCAGATCTTTCTGAATCTGCCATCATCTCATCAGTGTCACCGGTTTCTCTCGCTCCTGATCTTGCTCCATCTTTGCCTGCAATTCAATGAGTTTTCTGCAGAATGCTCAGTCCTTGTGTTCCAGGTTTGAAATTTCTGAACGGCTGAGTATTTGCTTGCTCAGATATGGACAGCCCGTGACAGGTAAGTGAGAGCTCTGGGTAGCACTGGAGGAGGAAGTCACCCCAGGAGTCCTCTGGCTGGAGTAGATGATGCTCATTGGATGCTCCGGGTCCAACATGCATTTTGAAGTAACACTTTGTGTAGCCAAAACAAAACACCAAACCTTTAATGTACACCTATTGTTTTGCAATAGTAAAAGCCTGAACCCACATTACGTCCTGGCTAGTAGCACATCTATATCCGTAACCTAAATACTGCCAAGGCACAGGCAATAACTCAGATTAACTGGACCACCCAGGTCATACACATATAATGAAATTCTCAAGCTTTACAAATCAAGGTGGTGCATAATCTTCCTTATAGGAAATGGACAATTACAACTGTCCTATGTCCAGATAAGTAAAATTGTATACATTTTGATTTTTGATGTGATATATATATCTGTTCATATCGTATACATTTAAAAACTCCAAAATCAAGAGTGAAGCCTTTGAGTGCACACAGCATTGCTGATGATGCAGCTGATGCAGCAAGGCCATTAAGTTAATGCTGAGCACTCCTGCTTCAAATAAAACAGTTCAATACAACTATTTTGGGAAAAAAATGCAGGCATTGGTCTCAAGCACTTTGAGAGCCTATTCTGGGCTTCATCTCTTCCTGTGAGAAGGGACACGTCCGATTACTATTTGATAATGCTACATTTTCACCTAGCAAGCAATTTTAAGATAAAAACCTACTAAAATATGAAGTATGTGAGGAGCAGAAAGCATTGGGAATTTTATCTGTTGCTGCTATTTTTGTTTTATTAATTTTGTATATGGTACCCAATAGATGAAATTTTAGCACGGGTATAATAAGTGAGAAAATCTGCCTGGTTCAGTGTAGTCAAATGAATAGTCAAAATTAGCACAGTGTATGATGACAACTATAGCAGTTATCTGCAATAACTCCTGAAACAATGCTGAAATTACAGACAATTAGACCAAACTCTGTACCTATCTTTGAAAAAAAAAAAAAAAGGAGGGTAAAGAAGTCTTCAACACTTTTCTCAACTGCCCAAAATCAATTCTCAGGAAAATTCCTGGAATATTAATACTTTCTGTTAAAATGAAGACTAAAGACATTTGTGTCTCAATTTCTAAATATGATTATCTGAAGAAAAAAAAAAAAAAAGACTGAGAGGGGATCTGATCAACGTTTATAAATATCTAAAGGGAGGTGGGAGGCAAATGGATGAGGCCAGACTCTTCTCAGTGGTGTGCAGCAATAGGACAAGGAGCAATGGCCTAAACTTAAGCTAAATTAAACTAAATTAAACTTAAACTAAACTGCTCCAGCTGGACTGTCACAAGTCGATGGGGCCAGTTGAGATCCACCCGAGAGTGCTGAGGGAACTGGCGGAGGTGATAGCCGAGCCGCTTTCCATCATCTGTCAGCGCTCCTTGTTGACTGGTGAGGTCCCAGAAGACTGGAGGCTTGCCAATGTGACTCCCATTTATAAGAAAGGTCGTAAGGAGGATCCGGGGAACTACAGGCCTGTCAGCCTGACCTTGGTGCCAGGGAAGGTTATGGAGCAGATCGTCTTGAGGGAGATCATGCGGCATGTGCAGGGTGACCGGGGGATCAGGCCTAGCCAGCATGGGTTCATGAAGGGCAGGTCCTGTTTGACCAACCTGATCTCCTTCTATGATCTAGTGACCCATCTGGTGGATGAAGGAAAGGCTGTTGATGTGGTCTACCTAGACTTCAGCAAAGCCTTTGACACTGTCTCCCACAGCATTCTCCTGCAGAAGCTGGCAGCCAGAGGCTTGGATGGGTACACTCTTGGCTGGGTAAGGAGCTGGCTGGAGGGCCGGGCACAGAGAGTGGTGGTGAATGGAGTTAAATCCAGCTGGCGACCGGTCGTGAGTGGTGTTCCGCAGGGGTCGGTGCTGGGGCCTGTCCTCTTCAATATCTTTATTGATGACCTCGATGAGGGCATCGAGTGCACCCTCAGTAAATTCGCAGATGACACCAAATTGGCTGGAAGTGTGGATCTGCCTGGGGGTAGCGAGGCCCTACAGAGGGATCTGGACAGGCTGGAGAGCTGGGCTGGAGCCAATGGGATGAGTTTCAACAAGGCCAAATGCTGGGTCCTGCACTTCGGCCACAACAACCCCAGGCGACGCTGCAGGCTTGGGGCGGTGTGGCTGGAGGACTGCGTGGAGGAAATGGACCTGGGGGTATTGATTGATGCTCGGCTGAACATGAGCCGACAGTGTGCCCAGGTGGCCAAGAAGGCCAATGGCATCCTGGCTTGCATCAGAAACAGTGTTGCAAGCAGGAGCAGAGAGGTGATTGTTCCCCTATATTCAGCACTAGTGAGGCCGCACCTCGAGTACTGTGTCCAGTTTTGGGCCCCTCACTGCAAGAAAGATATTGAGGCCCTGGAACGTGTTCAAAGAAGGGCAACAAAGCTGGTGAGGGGTCTGGAACACAGGCCATATGAGGAGAGGCTGAAGGAGCTGGGAATGTTCAGCCTGGAGAAGAGGAGGCTCAGGGGAGACCTTATTGCTCTCTATAACTTCCTGAAGGGAGGTTGTAGTGAGCTGGGGGTCGGCCTCTTCTCTCGTGTCATTAGTGATAGGACCAGGGGGAATGGTTTCAAGCTACGGCAGGGGAGATTCAGGCTGGACATGAGGAAGTATTACTTTTCAGAAAGGGTGGTCAGGCACTGGAATGGACTGCCCAGGGAGGTGGTGGAATCACCGACCCTGGGGGTGTTCAAGGAAAGACTGGATGTTGTGTTGAGGGACATGGTTTAGTAGGAGCTATTGGGAATAGGTGAACGGTTGGACTGGGTGATCTTTTAGGTCTTTTCCAACCTTAGTGATTCTATGATTCTATGATTCTATAACTTGAACATAAGAAGTCCTGTGCTAACATGCAGAAGAACTTCTTTACGGTAAGGGTGATAGAGCACTGGCACAGGCTGCCCAGAGGGGTGGTGGAATTTCCTTCTATGGAGTTACTCAAGACCCATCTGGACACCCACCTGTGTGACCTACTGTAGGGAACTGCTTTGGCAGAGGATTGGACACAATGATCTCTTGAGTTCCCTTCCAACTCCTGCAATTCTGTGGTTCTGTGATTTCTGTTTTACTTATCTGTATGCATGCAACAGCTTTGTCAGCTCTTGTAAACAAAGCAAAGCAAAGCAAGACAAAAACCACCCTTCCCAGTACTCGGGACCTGAGCTGCTAAGTCAGGGCACATTTGAAGATGTGAAGAAGGAAGCTGAGTGAACTGCAGCCCTGCATGGCATATTCAGGACATACTGAGATGCCATTCCTTTGCTTTGTGCCACATGAAGTTGTAAGACATGTATCACATAATCCTCCTATCACACGTGCTAAAAAGTGAGAGGTTCAAGAGTAGCAGTTCTCACTTCCATTTATATTCTCATTGTAAAAACTGAGAAGATAACACAGAAGTAGCGGGAGCATTTTGTATTTAGGGTAGCCTTTAATATCAGGTTAAAGAGCAGAATTTTTGATGAGTCAAGTAAAGAGCAGCCCACAGTAAAAGAAATCTCCATTACTTTTTGGCAGGGTCAGCCCAGGGGAGCTCAGGTGCAAGCAATGTACCTGAGTGACCAGAAGGGCTGCAGCCATGATCCACCCCTTCCCAGATCTCATCTAAGGGTTGGCAGTGGAGGTGCGGGTATCTCTCTGGGAATTCTTGTGTATTTGAGGCTTTTTGAAGGTAAGTAGCTTATTTCCTTTATTTCTGTGCCTACTACTGTTGTGTTTGAGTGAATATTCCTTTGTTGTAGCATGGGATCTTGCTACTCTGCTGTCACTGTTGTACTTTCCAATGTGTTGCACCCTGGTATGAGGGACCGTTGTTTTCAAGAATAGATTGAAGATGCCTTGATCCTTCCCCAGCTTTTATTTTCATGTCTGTTGTTAATTGGTTTAGTTTCTTTGCTTCCTGAAAAGTTTGATATGCAAAGCCTCTATCCCAAAGGATAAGCATAAGCTCTGCCCCATTTGATTACTCTTGCTTCTTTGGAGTTTGTGTGCTGCACACTGGCACACAGTGCAGTGCAAAGCAGCAAACGTCCCGCAGTAACACCAGGGCACTTTCTTAGAAGATACTGATTTCTTCTTCCTCCATCTGTTTTCTTTCCAGACTCAAACAAGGAACTGCAAAAACATAGAAAATGTGGAAATTAGATTATCTTGTAGATGCATGCTCGGGACTGCTATGGCTTAAGGTAGAATGTTTGTGCCTTTCTGAATCCACAAGATTCTTCAGTTACTGTGAGATGTGCTTGGACTACAGAGCTTTAATCCAGAGTGGAATTCAGATGCAAACTAGTAACATGCTTCACGTGCAGTTCCATCTTAAGATAGAATATGGTCTCTCCTCAAAAAGAAGAGAAAAACACAACCAAATATTTGCAGTTTCCCAGAGTTTCAGGTTCAGCTCAAGGCTTCAGCAAAGACTTTGGGTCATTTTATCCAAATCTATCTGCCCAGCCCTAATTGCAACAGCACATATGGAAATGCTACAGTGAAGTCCTTGCCAGCACTTTCATTATAAACCCTCCTGGTTTGAGTGTTTTGTAACTCTTCCTGAAGAAGGAAGAAAAAAAAAAAAAAAAAGGCAACAGAAAGGGATGAAACTTGATATAAATGTTTTCAGCTGGGGAGCAGTTTTTTGTGTTGCAATATTTCAAGGAAATCTAATCAAAGCGTTTTGAAAATCAGAAAAGAAATTGGAGGAAAAAAATGGGGGTGGGATCACAGAATATTTGTTTTATTTTTCTTATTTTATTGTTTGTTTGAAGCACGTAGGAAAAAATATTGCAGATCTAAACCACTTCTAAACTCTGAACTGTGGCCTGATTTGGATTAAATGTTTTGGATGATTCCATCAAAGAATTGCAATAATACCAAAGGAAAAGAATATTTGTCCATTACACCTGTTTGGAAATTGCTATGAAGGACAAGAAATATCTGCAAGGCAGTGAAAGAACACCTGGAAACTCTAGATACATTTGGTCCTGTACTGCTTAATGAAGTATATGGGTTTGCATGGAAGTAACACCTGACAGGAATCCCTCATTAGATTAAACTCTGGTTTTGAAGAGAATCGCACAGGTCTCATCCTTCTTGAGTTTTATTCCAAAGCTTCTGGCAGAGTGTAGCTCCCAATCATTCACATGAAAGCAAAGCAAAACTTGCTTATCATTGGTGTGCACAGTTTGGGACTGATGCTGAAGTTAAGCTAAACACAGCCATCTACCAGTAGGTCTGTAAGGTTACGTGATAGGTAATGGAGGTCTACCCCACAGGAGAGACTTGGCTAGCCAATATGCATCCAGGGGCTGCTAAACAGGATGCAGGATTTCTGGACAAAGAGCATGACTGGTGTATTTTAGAACACCTTAGGTGATGCTGAGAAGCTGAATCCTACAAAACACATAGACATAGTAGGAGCTGAAGAATCTACCTGATTCCATTGGGTGTGCTCTGCATCAACTTGGCGTCCTATAACTGCAGAGAGAGTTCAGACATTATGTCTGGACAGATCAAAGGTTCAACAGTTCCCCATCCAGCACATTGCACTGGTAGGCCATGTAGCCTAGGAATACTTTTCATCTTCTGATCTCAAAAAGCAATAGAAAGGAGTGAAGTATCTTGCTTGTACTCATGATCCAAGCATAGTATACATTAAACATACTTGAGAAAGTTATTACTGCAGCTGGCCCTTAAAACATTAATCAGTTGGAACTCTACTCAAAACACTTGGACATAAATCTGAATTGCTGCATTGTACCAAGTTATAGGGCACAATCTAACTCAGTGTCTGAAGATAAGTGACATCAGATCTTATCTGCAAGTGACCCTCTCAATCAATTTTGAAGAGTCTCAGGAGATGGACTCTACCAGGAATTCAACTTGATGATTCTTGTGGGCCCCTTCCAACTCAGGGTATTTTATGATGATTTGAAGACAGCCCATCTGACAGCGGGCCTGTTACAAACATTCCCTATTTCTTCTCTCTATGGTTGACTGGATGCACATGGACTGTAATAGAAGTTTGGATGCATGTAATCACTAAATCTGAGTGTCTTAGTCTGGAGCTTATTAAAGTCAGTCATCTTGTTGAGATGACTTCCAATCCTCACCAACAGTATCCAACAGCTTATGCCGAATGTCTTCATCCTCTTTGACTGTGAGCTGAACTGTGTTGCATTATACCACATTTGCAACAAATACAGACAACAGTGACAACTCAGCTGGCACACAGTAGCTTGCAAAAGCATGGTAACTTGTTTGTGTCCCTGAGCTATAACTCTGAAATAGTTCAGATGCAAACATGCAGTTTGCATTCTAGCTAAATCAAGGACAAAGGCACTTAAATCCTAATGTAGATTGATGCGAATTTGATGGAAGAGGGTAGCTTTTATTACAGCTCCTTAAGCCTGTCTCCAATCTAGATGGAGTGAAACGCATTGTGGGAACATGCTGGGACTTGTTTTCATTACATATAGAGCCTGGCTAAAATCAGAATCTTTTTCACACATTTGTACTTGTTTGAACCGAAATGGAAACTATAGACTTGATGAGTACAACTGCACAGGTGCAAAATTATTCCCTTCTGGAATACTAGTCACCTTTGTCCAAGAAAATAAGCATGATGCGGAGAAGAGCAACTGGGACCATCTTTGGAATGTGGAAATTCATATATGAGACAAGAGGCTTGTTTTAACTATCAGAACAGAAGCTGAAAGACGATATGGCTATTGAAACTACAGGATGTTTTTGGCATAAGGACAAATGTGTATTAACTGGTCATGAATAAATTTCGAAGAGACATTAGAAGATGGTTTCAAACTGTCAGAAGAGTGAGGTTTTGAAGTCAGCTTTCCCATAGGAGTAGTTATGGCAAGAAACCTAACCACTTTTATGAAGGAGCACACTAAATTTATGAACAGATTATGTTACGTGGGAGGCTGAGGTAGCATGTGGCTGGATTTGATGATCCACAAGATTCCTTTCAGGCTACTTAAGAGAAAATCTTAGAGTTTAATTTTCAACTGCCCTTTATGCTTTCTCTGTATAACCATAAAGGCAGGAATATTCTTACTTTGCACCTACAACTTTCGTGCCATTACCATCTTAAATAAACAATTATGTGATTGGAAACTACAGAAATAGTTGAAGCTGTGATTTTACAGACTCAAAAGTGAACAGATACGGTAAAAGAAGTCTTATAAAGTAAGTGTCTTCACAAAGTGCTTAACATCCTTTGTAAGATTTTTGTATTAGAATTTGATGAATGTCTATTTTCATTTTTTCTTACTAGAAACCTGACCAATGTGCCACACTTACATGAAATATGTGAAGAAAGAGTACAAGAATTAATGCACAACTCAAGGCATGTCTGTGATACGCAAAGCAGCACAGAGGAGTAACATCTGGGAAAGAATCAAACGAACTCATTCCAGAAATGAAGCTGTTACAGCTGCATTAGCCCAGGGTTGAGCCCAGGACAGCTGGCTAGCTGAGAGGCAGAGCTAGTCATCCTGGGATGAAATCCAGTCCACTGAAATCCCACTTTTTTCACAGACAGCAAATCAGTCCACATATTTTTCTGAACTGCTCATTATAAATCTCTCTAAATTCATTAAAGATGCCTTTATTTCATTGGAGGCATTTTCCAGGTTTTTCCCTTAAATGTGTGAGTCAAAGTTTGCTGTGATCAAAGTTCTAATCCAGATCCTGTACCGTTTTGTCTCTGCTTAATTCTTCTAGAAAGGTCTTTAAAGTTAGAGTTAGTGAGAACAAGAATGTGACTCTAGCCATTTTCTTCCTAGGAGCTCAAAAGCTATAGAAACTGGAAGATACTGTCTGCAAGGGAAGGGGGCTCAGATTTTACACAATGCTTGCATTGCAACATCACGTTGATTTTTGTCTGGTCAGTTCTGGAGCCAAGCATACAGAGATAGAAAAGTCAAAAAAAAAGACAAGAATCTAGAGAGGAAGAACAGGACCATTGGTTCCTGCTCCTTGTAACATCATGTGTCTGGTGTATTCCTGAAAGCATGTAGTTTATCTTCACGGGGGAAAGGGAGCCCACCATATGCTTGGCCTTGACTTTACGTTCAGAGAACTCCTGCAGGAAAAAGAGAATGAAACTCCCTTGAGATTGTGTAGAACCCAGGACCAGGATTTTGGGGAGACCCTCAGATATGAGGTCATTATTACATAAAATCTGATCCCGTGACTCCTCCTCACTTCATATTTTGTGTTCACCATGAGAGCGGGGGTCCGGATTCCACACTGATATCATCACCTACAGTTTGCTTCTACTTTGCACTCTCAGGGTAAGATACACGGCTAAGAAAAGTGGGTCTTTAGAAGTATTTATCTCTCTCCAGTAGCTGTGCACTGACCACTATAACTAAGTGGTCTCCACTTACATGTCCCCCATTCCGACTTACAACTTCGAGAGAAATCCGCTCAGAGAAACAGGTCTGAGTAACAAGAATGTTTACATCTGTTAAAAACATAGAGGAAAAGTTACCTAGTGAATTCCAAAGTGTGAGTATTAAAAATACAACAGAAAAGACCTTTCAGTTATTTCCTATGGTTGCTTCTGAGTTTTTAGTCTGTTATCTTTGCTACCTGAGCTTCATTCAGGAACAAGATACAGGAAATTACATAATCAAACTCGCTGCTTTCGTAAACACTTTTTTTCTTCTATCACTTTTCCCATTTTGATCTATGTGTGACACACAGGCAGTGTTCAGTGCAGTTGCAACCACTGGCTGGTGAAGTGCTAAGGACCTCCATGGAATGCAAAGCAGCTAAAACTCACCATGTCACCTCTCATCTGCACTTTTTTTTTTTCTCAAGAAATTCCACCAGGTTTGTCAGAGGTTATTTTTCACCCCAGAAACTATCCTAATTCCTTTATATCAACTTGTATGTTTCCAGATGTTTTGTGATCTCATCCTATACTGATGTCTGCAAGACCTTGCCTACTGTCAGAATCAAACTTTATGAGAATCTGTAAGTCTTCACCTTAGTCCTCTTCTTATGGAATGGTTTTACATTCATGTCAGTTTGGTCCCTCAGTACTCCTTCCTGTTACAATAAGCTAGTATTTGTTCTATAATTGACCAGTATCCTTTTCCATCATCCCTTTCATGAGATTCAGGTGTGGCCAGCTGAGCCCTACAGCTCAGCTTTCCAGTGAATTTTTTTGAAAACTGGTCCTCAAATTGCTTTGGCTTTTAGAATCTTTTGTTTTAATTTCTAGCACAGTATTTTGTTTCATCCTTGAAACCTACTTATCACAGATAGTAGAGGACTAACACTGAAGTAATGATGATGCATTAGCTAAGACAATCCAGAGGCTGATCACTGTTTATAGAGCTTTTTATGTCCAGATCGTACTGGTAGTGATAAAAGATAATGAACATCAGGTGTTTTCATACTGCCATATATACCAGTGAAAAACTGAAATCTTTACGTGGATCATCACATTTAGTCAGAAGTTCTGTGTGTCATATCATGAAGAAGGAATATGTTTATACTGATGACATCGTTATAACTAAGGGGTACAGTAACTGCAGAACAGCTTGTTTGAACTCTATGAATGTGTGCAGAGCCAAAAGGAAAGATTATAGAATAACAAATTCTAGTTTGGCTTGGGTTGGAAGGGACCTCAAGGATCATGAAGCTCCAACCCCCCACCACATGCAGGGCCACCAACCTCCCCATTTCATAGCAGCCCAGGCTGCCCAGGGCCCCATCCAACCTGGCCTTGAACACCTCCAGGGATGGACGGGGCATCATAGCCTCTCTGGGCAGCTGTTCCAGCACCTCACCACTGTTTCTGTGAAGAACTTCCCTCCTTGAGCTTAAAATCCTTCCCGCTTGTCCTATCACTATCCACCCAAGTAAAAAGTTGATTCCCTTCCTGTTCATAATCCCATTTTAAATACTGGAAGGCTGCAATGAGGATTCCTCGCAGCTGCCTTCTCTCCAGGCTGAACAAGCCCAGCTCCTCCAGCCTGTCTTCATAGCACAGGTGCTCCAGCCCTCTGATCATCTTTGTGGCCCTCCTCTGGACCCTCTCCAACAGCTCTGCATCTTTCCTTTCTTGGGGACTCCTGCAGATGGGGCCTCATGAAGGCAGAGTAGAGAGTGACAGTCACCTTCCTGTCCCTGCTGGCCACCCCTCTTCTGCTGGAGCCCAGGATACCATTTGCTTTCTGAGCTGCAAGAGCACATGGCTGGCTCATACTCAGTTTTTCATCCACCAGCACACCCAGGTCCTTCTCCCCAGTGGATGGCTATTACCATCCTTGCCATTGCTTTGTTTTCTCAAGAAAGGAGCAGTATGACAATCAAACAGAATCCGACAGTGCAAAGTTCAAATCTGCCTGGCCGCAGACTTGAATGTGTCATATGTGTCACATGGATGAGCTCCCGCACCCCAAGGGATTTAAGTATCACAATTCTGAGCTGTAGGGGCATTCTGGATGCAGTGCTGCTCTCGCATGTAGGAAATTTCCAGAAGGATTTGTACGAGTGTTTTTTTTTTGTTGCTGTTGTTGTTATATATATAAACAACACATAAATAATGTTCTTCATTTCACCCAACATGGATGAGATTCCTAATATAATTTTGTGTTTCTTAATACATCCAACTCTCCCAGCTTCATATTCCACCTGTAAGAGGGGAACAAAAGCACTTTCTTTGTAGGTGGAATAAAGAAAATAAATTGTGCTCAGTTGTGTATGCCTAAGATAGTGGGGGGTGATGGCAGTTTGGTACCAAAAGACATAGCTAGACAGAGTCCCACAGAACTTAAGCTAGTGGAAGTTATCTGGACGGTTTAGATTACCACTCAGATTAGTGACAAAATTTCCTCAGTTGGCAGTGGATAAGAACTGTGTTACAGATAAGTGTCTTTGAATAAAAGCCCTGTATAACTCCAAACATTAGGCACTTTTAGAAAGCGATCTATACAAAGTCTTGAAGCAACAGCATCTCTTCTTGCTGACTTTGTGCAAACACTTCCTGAAGCTTTCTATTTTACCACAATAAAAGCCTTTCAAAGGTCATGTAGGGATAACTTGAATTATTAACATCTATCAGTCCTCTAGCCCAACCACAAGCATGCCTGAAGCAACTCTTGCTGATAACAATTACAACTACATTTTCCTCACTTGCATCCACAAAATGAGCTGATACTCATGACTATTGCTGAGCAAGAAATCTCTGGGTTACTGGGAATATCACACCGCAATAACCTTTCAGTTTCTTCCCTGACATTTTTTGCCTGACAGTTTAAATGTACAACTCAATTTCTCAGTCCCCAGGTCAGATGCTTTGGTAACAGGTGTCAATAGCAGCAAACTGAAGTCAGTGGCTCTGTGCAATGCAAAACAACAGGAGGGTTGGTCCTGTGAGTCTTGGCTTCAGGTGCAAGGATTTCCTCCCATTAACTCTTGGCTTGCAAGAATTACTTTGAAAGTTAGCCCATTTGTTTCACCTCCACATTCAGCACCATGCTGTCACAGGCACTGTAACACTACAGGAGCACAGATTGTAAAACAAAGACCATATTTCCTTCCATACATAAGCAGAGCTATGCAGCATTCCAGCCTAGCACCGTATTTGTAACTCAGTGAACTTTATATTTCCTTACATGCTACTGGCAGCATTGACAAAATGCACCTTTGAATACCAACGTTCTTCTTGCTATAACTGGTTGCTAGTCCTTGGTCACATCACGAGTAACTAGAAGTATTGCTCTGGAAGTTCTGTTGTTCTTCCTTCCTTCCCCACTGGAAGGTCTCCTACTTTCAGTAGAGCTCATATGAGCAGATGATCCTGCGTTTCGTACTGCCATGTAATCCTAGCTGATTTTTTTTATTCCAATCTACCTTCACACTGACTGATCCACAGTTTCTATCAGCAACCACCTGTGTCTTTCTCCTCACATCTGTATGTAGGTCATAAAGAAATATTTACTAACTTTTAAGGCACCCTGGTTTTAAAAGCCATCTCAGACCAACAGTTCCCTTTTTGGTGCTCTGCCCTGTCCCCTTCACTTTTCCTGTCCAAATTGCTATCTTCTCCACCTCACAAGGTGTTCATGAAGATGGGGCATATTTCTTAGTCTAAGCTTGAGTTAAGGACAGGCAGTCAAGGGTCCAGCCCTTGTTCTTTGTGGATTTGTGTGCATCTGTACATCTACACAGCCAAGGACATCAGGGCAATGTGATAGCCACATTTATCACCCATGATTAATCCATCTTATTCCACAGAGGTTTCCAACTACTGTAGATTTGCCATAACTTGGAAACCAAACTCCTGCATGCACAGCTCTAACTTTGTTAGTGACTGATTTTGTTAGTCTTTTCCATTAACAGTGTAGTCAACAATACAGCAGCCCA